AACCGATGTCAGCTCATGATGAAATCCTGTAACTAAATGGTTTTTTGACTGCACATCAGCACTACCCTCTTACCAATCTTCACCCCCACCCCCGCTAGCTACAATTCGATTACTCATCACATTTTTGAAATGTCTTGTCGGACAAACCTAATGTACACATACACACACGCATACAAAACAAAATAAGTATATATAATTGGGATTGTATAGCTGCAGAAGAGAATGGATTTGCCGCCGCCGCCGAAAAGAGACTCTTCTCTGAACTACGTGTTTTGATATGTAAAATGCCTTTAGGAATATGTAACTTGAAAGACAAGATTTATGAAAGACTCCACTTTCACTTTTTCAGATGCTACTTTACCCTTAAAGTTAAGAAGCTCATTTAACCGTATCATAATGCTAAGAGGGAGTCATCTTTTAAAAAATTTAAAACAAATAGTCCCTTTTATAAGTTTGGACGGTGATGTAAGACTGTATTGGATATTTCTGTTGAATTAAAAGAGAATTGCCGAGCCTTGGTTTGCAGGGATTTGACTGCCTACAGGATGTCATCATGGGCTGACTGCTGCTGCTGGCTGCTGGATTCAACATAGAACTTGGCACCGAAGTGCAGCAGTTCGAGTTGCCACATTCCAAATAGCACACAAAGGTAGACAAGAAAATGAGAGAAGAGAATCAATAGAAATTAGATAAGTATAAGAGTGAAACAGAATGAGTATTGGTAGAAAGGAATATGAAGGTTAAAGAGACTGAATACATCTGCATAAGCCATTGACAACGATGAGTTTGAGCCATGTCACCTATTGTCTCCAGCCATTGATTCTTAGAGTCCCGAGGGCGGGCCCCAACCCGGAAGTCTGCATCTCCCTCCCTACCTGACTCAGTTTAACTGTCAAGGATTTCATGGATTGATTGATGCCATGATTTTGTTTGGCCACCACTTACTCTTTTCCAACCTGCACCTACCTATATCAGCTAGTAATGCCCGTTGGGAGGGGGAGGCGATGGTTAGGCATACGCAGCAAGTGACCTAGCCATCTCAATCTATGTAACTTTATAGCCTCGTCGATTGATTTTCCCTCTTTGCTCAACACTCTACGCCTAATGTCAACATTACTTACCTTATTATACCAACTAACGTGAGAAAGAGATTGTAGACATCTATGATCAAAAGCAGTAAACCATTTCATGTCTTCAACTCGTATTGACAATGTTTCAGAGCCATAGAGAAGGACGCAGCGAACTGCTGAGCAGTATACACGTCCCTTGGTTGATAGCCGGATGTCACGCCTACGCCAAAGACGGTGTAAGTTAGCGAAAGCAGCTCGAGCTTTCTGGATCCGTGCTGTGATTTCGTCACCAATCAATCCGTTGGTGCTGATACAACTTCCCAAATAGGTGAAGTGGTCAACATGTTCTATCATTTCACTCCCTATCACTAAGCTAGGAGTTGAAGTAGTCCAGTCCTGTAGCAGCATCTTACATTTCACAGGGGCGAATCGCATGCCAAGCATACGAAGATTGCTGCTCAAGGTGTTCAGAAGACTCTGCATTTTGTCAGCGTCCTCCCCTAACAGGACTATGTCGTCTGCGTCATGGGCTGACATTGGTTAGAGAACCATTGGAAAGCAACAGAAAGTACTAGGCAGCCGTTTCGTCCTCGTTTTGAACTCTTCAGCAGTACGCGCCCACCGCAGGGGTTCAGGCATAGGACATGCAGATTACAAGGCAAGCTCCTTAGGCCATTAAGGACAAAAACGCCATCTTGTACTCCCAGATCCTCCAGTGCTTCTCTAATTGACGTCAGTTTGTGATCATGTAAGCACCAATCAAATCCCTGCAAATTAAAATAAGACAGTTAGTCCGACGTTCAGTAGAGACTGGCCCTATACAGGAATTACCTGGGGTTCTAGCAAGAAGTCATAGCAAGCGGGGTTCACCAAGTCAAGCAAGAGGACAGTTAAATCACCCATGACATTGCCTGGTGGTCGCGCAATATATACATAGCGAATAAGCAGAGGTTGGAATTCATGTGCTCTCAGAAACTACATTAACTCACAAACAGTCCTGTTTAAGAACAATTACTATTTGTCACTAAATAACAATGATTAAAATCAGCTGAGGAGTTCATTTCGCTTACCAATAAATATTAAATACCGATCCTTGAAAGTTAAACATGTGTGTTGACTAAGCTGAGGTGAATCTGCCGTGGTAATGTCTAACCAACTGCCCAATTCAGGATATAATTGAATTTTATAAAAACAACTGCTTGGTTTTTTACACAGTGCATTATTCGATGTTACTCCACCGTGAATGTATAGAACACCTTGACAAATAGCGCCTAAAATTCTTCAACATCAGTACGGAGAAAGAAAAAAAACACATTTAGTACCAGCATGATTTTGTAGGGCAGGACCATCATTCGGGGTGTTTACTTCAACCCATTGTAGAGAACATTGATCAGGCATTTGTTGAATAATTCGATTCTCCGATGAAATTTATCTAGTTATAATAATATATGGCAAAACACCAGCTTTCATATATCCAGATTCGGATTCGGAATTTTCGATCGAGTATAGGTTTGAAGCCTATGTTAATCCTTTTATTAGTAAATTTCTGGGCTTGTCCAAACCCTTCTTCAATGATTCAACTGAAGGCGTACTGATACCAATTCTTATGGGTTTCGGTTCCAGGAGTTGATGACAATGAATACTCCACAGCGATAGAGTTCCTTCTTAGCTTCCGAACTCTCCTGTTATGTCCTCTAAGGTGTTCCGATCACCTGGTAGGAATGGAAAGAGAATAGGTAAGATTTGTGGTCATCATTTAATGTAATGAAATCTCTCTGCCTACGGTACAACAAGAAGAATAGATTTAAACTGTCTAGTCTTTCCTCGTATGATAAATTAGTCATACCAAGAATCATACTTGTAGCCCTCCTTTGAACTCTTTCTAGAATATGTGAGTCCTTTAAAAGACAAAGACTGGCTGTCTGGATACAACTTTTTAGTCTTGACCTCACCAGAGTTGCATATAAAGAAGTGAACATATCTCTGGTAATTCTAGCAAAAAGTTCTGAGAATTGCCCATAAGGATCTGAAACTATGTGCTGCCTCTATGCGAAAATTTGCTGCAGTTTCCAGATCGTAACTTACTATGTCACCTCAATCAAAACGAGTTGAAGTGTTACTCCCACTCCTGCGAGTTCAATACGCATGGTTGCACATTTCGCTACAATGATTGGAGGCATCCATTCTTTGGACCAATAACTAACAACTTACTGAGGTCTTCTTGCTAAGTGAGAGTATCATTGTCGCCCTTCAGTTACCTCCAATTTATTAGGTTATCTGTGTATATACAAGTAGCAATTTGAGTTTGTCAATAGTCCAAAATTCAAACTAAATATGGTGACGTTTGAGAAGTAAGTTGTGCAGCTTCTATCAATTCCTAAAGTGTAAGCTTGCTTTACTTGAATATGTCTTTCAGCCGTCATTATTAGCAAGTTCGTTTCTGCTACAATGACCGAGGACGAATTAAGGAAGACTTTGAATGCCAGCACTACGGCCTACTTTCACGACGTACATGATCGCGTGCCAAAAAGGGGAAGCCACCGAAGAGTAAGTAAATATTTTTGGGTTAATTGAAGTTACTATGCTGCAAACATTTTCATTGTATGTATGTCACACAGCGAAATTCTGATTTAACTTTTACAGGTTGCTGTGACCGGAGGAGCTCTGACGTAAGTGACAGTTTAATTAAGCAAATGCTGTAAAAACCTATAATGCAACTGCCAGTAGTGTGTAACTGTAAACGTTATGATAATTAGTGCTGCTAATTATATGAACCACGTGTTCATGTAAACTTTTGGTTAAACAGTTAATGGTTTTTCTATAATCACTCACTTGTTATTATGTGGGTAGGGGAAATTTCCACGTTTAAAAAATACACCTGAAGACGAATTATTTATAAACAAGTAATTTGATTTTTACTCAATAATTAAGAAACTTTTGGCAACTAAATTACCCCGTTTATTATATAATTATTATATCACACCTAAGTATAAGTGTGGCCGTTGATCACTGCATTGCTCATTTTTAATTTATTTCCTTTTCAGGATACTTCAATGGATCTACTTGATAATGGTGGTCAAGCGAAATGCGGAATTCATACATCGTGTTAACAGACAACTATTCTACTTGTGTGTATTATTTCTAATTCTAAGTGTGTATTAATACAGGATTAATTAACCCTAAATAATTAATTCGCAGAAGGGTTGTGAATTATTTCTTATTCTTATTAAACGACTGAAATATTTATATATATATTTTCAATTACGAACTTTATTTTAATGGTGACCGCCTAGGTTTTTTATCAGTAACCACGTTTATGTGTAAGAGAAAATGCAGCAGCAGTCGAAAGGTTAACTCCAAGAGAAAAACCCAATCGGACAAATACGGGGAAAAACATGTTAAAAAGGGGGAAAAAGTGGGACACTCCATTGAGAGAAAAACGGGGGAAAATGGGGGTGGTTGCTGACTGAAAGAAATTATGCGACAAGAAGGGGGAAATAGGGCACTGTGTGTAGCATCGGAAAAAGGGGAAAATTTTTTGCTATTTCCCACTTTTATCCTCCTTTTTGTCTGATTGAGCTCAAGGTGTAGTAAAATCTTGTAGAAACAAACACCATACTTCCAAAGATATACTTCACTAGTGCGAGAATATGAAACAGGTTAAAAATGCATTATACACATTACATCTCTTAGCTTAGTCGAACTCCTATCCTGCCACTTACCACGTAACAATTAATCCAAATTACGCTGGTTTCTGTCGTCATGTAAACGTATTTACGAGAATTGTCTTCAATAATCAATATCGGTTTTACGAGCTAGTGTAAACCATATTGATTTCTTTGTGCTCGCCTCTATATTATGAGGTGAAAGCTCGTGGCCGTCGATAAACTTCTGCGTAGTTCGTCCCTCCACTCGACTGTCGTAGCTCCAAATGGAGTGGTGTTGGGGTTAATTATAAGATGCGGTGTGTTAAGACTTTGTTCCTACCATGAGTGTAGTTGATCCTTTCACCAGCTTGTCTTCCAGTGTTTTCGCTTAAAGAAAATAGACAATAACGACAACCTATATAATTAGTGTAGGTTATTCAGACTAAAAGACAGAAAGAGAAATAAAGAAAACGTAAAAGCTGACAGCTAATGAAATTTGTAGTTGATATATACATATATCAATATATATGTATATAATATCCGCATGAATAGTAAGTAGAGCAGTTGGAGTAGTCAGGAGGTAAGACAGGAGAGAAAGTAAAGAAGTATACCGATGATACTGTAGTGTACATTGTACCTTTGAACTTTTGTTTGAATGAACTCAACCTGACCTTTAACCCCACTTCCACTTCCGCTTTGTACTCCGGTTCCTCCTGTACGGTTACTGTCTCGCTCTCTCGCTGTACTTTCACCTAGTACACTCTACGAGCCGACAACCGTCTCACCTCCAGATAAGTGTGTACTTTTTATTTCTTACCAGATTCCATATCTCTTTGTGTAAATACAATTCCGGTCCAGTTACACTTGCCATTTCGAGTCTTTTAACTTTGATTCCGTTCTTTAGTACTTGCACGTAGGCAGAGTACTATTTAAGGTCGTAAACGGTGAAGGAGTTTGTAAGAGCGGTTATTGTTAGGTCGAAGTAAATTCTAAGACCAACACCTATAAGTGGTGAGCCCGAGTTTTCACCGTTTGCCTACTTAGTAGCCTTAAGTGTAAATAGTCTTTTTTCATATTGGTAATTTGTTTTTCACACGGACTTATAAATTTTATTTGCCTTGTTTTTACTCATATTTTTTGTTATCATATTTGTTGTCATTTTATTAATATATCGTCCCGTGTGCAAAATGACTGACACCAGTCCCGCCTCAGAAATGGCTATTACCTTGCGACTCCCCACCTTCTGGACTCAACATCCTGCCCGATGGTTCGAAGCTATGTTCGCACTTCGAAATATACACTCACAGGAGACTAAGGTGAACCTAGTTATAGTAAGTCTTCCTGAGCACGTCATGGAAGATGTATCTGATGTCCTTGCGGACCGATCCCCGGGCTTGTACGAGCGTCTCAAGCAAGCGTGTGGCACTTACCGAACAACAGAAAGTGCAGGAGCTATTCCGAGATGTTCACCTAGGTGATAGAAAGCCCACCCAACTGTTGCGTCAAATGAGGCAGTTGGTGGCCGACTTCAAAATAGATGATGCCTTCTTGAAACTACTGTGGTTACAACGGTTACCCCAGACGATTCAGACCATTTTAGCCCCAATCAACCATTCCCCCTTATCTGAGCTAGCTGAGGCAGCCGATAGAGTAGTAGAGACTACTACATCAAACACGAATATCTCGGCTGCCGCTACCGCTAGTTCCACGCAGACTAGGACCTCCTCTGCCGTGGGGTCATCAAACGTTGATGTGGTGGCTCACCTCAATAAGCTGTACGAAGAGATAGGAAAGTTAAAACTCGATAGGAGATATAGAGGTCGTTCACATAGCCGCACCAGCTCCACTCGTGGCAGATCTTCGTCGCGAGCTGGCAGCAGACGTCGTAGGCCTCAAAATTCCGAACCTGGAGTGTGCTGGTATCACCGGCGTTATGGTGATAAGGCCCAAAAGTGCACTCGCCCGTGCACCTTTGATGGCCAGCAATCAGGAAACCAGTAAGCCAGCACGTATTGGCGACTAACGTCGCTGGCGAACCACTTCCATGTCGCCTCTTCTATGTTACCGACCGTACCACTGGGACACGCTTCCTGGTTGACACTTGGGCGGAAGTTAGCGTGATTCCACCGACATCTGAAGAGCGCAAGCGGCCACTTTCCTTACAGCTTCGCGCCGCAAACGGTTCGCCAATCACAACGTACGGCAAAAGGTTCCTGGATCTTAACATAGGCCTACGTAGGTCATTTCGCTGGGTTTTCCTTGTAGCAGATGTAACTACCGGTATTATTGGCATGGATCTCATGCAACACTATCAGCTACTGGTCGATACTGGCAAACACAAACTGATTGATTCAGCTACAAGCCTTTCGATCTCCGATGTTGTGACACACACACCTGCATTAAGCCCAGTATACTCAACCCCTGCCTCTAACGGCCCTTACGCTGAAGTTCTTCAGTCCTTTGCCAATCTGTTCAAACCGGTTTCTACACTTCCTTGTGTGACGTCTACTGTCACTCATCATATCGTGACCACTGGTCCACCGGTCTTCGCTAAGCCACGGCGATTGTCCCCAGGAAAACTACAAGCCGTGAAGGCTGAATTTGAACATATGTTAGATATGGGGATAATCCGTCCTTCCAGCAGCCCGTGGTCTTCCCCTTTACATGTGGTACCAAAGAATAATGGGATAGATTGGAGGCCTTGTGGTGACTACCGCAGGCTTAACGCACAGACCGTACCGGATCGCTACC